ACCCTTGAAGATAGACGTAAACTAGTGGATGTATGTCTACTGTACGACATAGTGCACGGACGCATTGATATCCCCGAGCTAGTTCCGAACGTGCGGCTAAATGTGCCTTTACGACGCGCTCGCCGCGCCACGCGCCGTCTGCCGCCCCTGTTAAGTGTGCCGCGCGCTGGTACTAATTACGCGCGTAATGCACCCCTCTCGCGTCTACCCAGCCTTTACAACGAATTTTTTGGAGAAATTGTTATTTTTAACCACAGTAAGAACGCTTTTAGGCGCTTAGCTATTGAATGTCTTAGACCTAAAACCAAAAATAAAATTAAATAACATAACATAATTTATAACTTAAAGTAAAGTGAAATAATAATATTATACTGCTAATCTAGTGTATAATAAATAACTAGTGTGTCTTCGTGTATTTGTTTGTTAAAAAATATATCATGTGTGTATTCGTGTGTATTTGTTTGTTGCCGTTGAACAGTGTATGATGTTAATGATTTCATTATTGTATATGTGCATATTTTCATGAATAAACATTTCGAATGTGCGTGCTGCCTGAGGGAACAGGTGCAACAATTCAATTTAATGTTTTAAGTGTAAATATGAGGTTATACCTACTGGCTACTAATTATTACGACCGTAGTATGCTATATTCATAGTAATTAATGGAAACCTGTTATTGGCCTTATTATAAAAATACTATTGTCTAATGTAAACTATATAGAACGCTGTTGGTTTCTTAATAAAAAAAAAAAATTTGTAAATGACTAATTAATTAAATATTTTCACGTTTTTGACGTTACATCTGTCAATGTCATATCGATATATAGTACTGAATCGATCTAGTGAATCGATATTTCACCCTAGATAATCGAGATTGAATCTTTTTCTGTTTTATTAAGAACTATAAAATTATTTACAATTAGTTGAATGTACCCCAACTCGTAGAGAATGACAGTTTATCAATTCAATCATTCCATGTTATCTGTACTTTATTGTATCTTTTGATATTGTAAATATAAATTCTTAACGCAAATAAAAGAAATATCGGTTTTTGCGAAATTGGTCTTTAAGATTTTGATTTTTTGTGATATTTTGATCTTCTCTATTCAAATTAGGATGTTTTTTGATTTCAATAGCCTCGCGAATCATCCTTGGAAGGAATCGGTGTTCTTTAGCGAGGATTTGTGGTCTATCAAATCTGATGTAGTGACGGGGGCGATCCTGTACGTGTTCACAGACTGCAGACTTCCCGGAGCGTCGATTCTTCACATCAGTTATATGTTCTTTAACGCGGGTTTTAATTGACTGCCATATGTTAGAGGAGGAGAGAAAAACCATCCTAATTTCAATAGAGAAGATGGCTGGGTGCTACCATCTGCTTGGGATCCTGTAATAAATAAAATTAAATCCCAACCCAAGCATACAACTGCAAGACTTCATGATACCATAAGTTCATACTGTGTAGATTGGAACAAAAGTTAAATTTAATCTATGGTAACCGCGGTTAACTATGACATCTGGACGTTGAACATCTCAGTCCTTCCCGTGACCTTGGGTGCTGTAAAGCTCTCGAAACGTCGGGTATTTAAAAAGTTAAATATACGCGATAAATTCCGTAAAAACTAGTATTATTTCAATGTGTAGTGTTCGCGTAAATATAAGAAATCATTTTGTTAAAAGCTTTACGTCATGCCGTCATGGCGTTGCTTCCGAGTTTCAGAATTTTGGTGAATAGTGGAATATTTGTGGCGGCGGAATACTGATAAATATCGCAAAGATCCTGTCTTACTAATGGTGGCAGCCACAAATTATGTTTATAAATTAAAGTAGTTATAAAAGTTAATATTTTGGCGTTATATTGTGTGCAAACGAGCGAAGCGAGCCCCTGGGACGTGGGGCACCTCGACTCGGACAGGTTATTATAGAAGGGGATGACGTGGTCGAGTGAGCGCGCGATGCGAGCGAATAGATCCCGCCATCCCCTTCGTGGTTATTTTTTTATAAACCACTCGGGAGTAGGAGCGGGGCTCCGTCAACCGGGCTTCCCTCGACTGTACCAGTTTAAGTACCGTGGGGCTTCCGTCCCCCAATTTTCTCTCACCATAGATCAGGTTAAAATTCTCATAAAAATTACGAAACATAACCTCAAAATGAGATTTTTAAAAGTTTATTGAAAAAACTAAGCACGTCCGGCAGGAAGGGGAAGTAGGGGGTGACTCTACAACTAATCCCCTCCCCCCACACCACCCCCACCCCCTAATTCAAGCGACTTAATTGTAAACCTTACCCTAAACCTGGACTAAAAGAGGGCCAGTCTTCATGTCCGATAAAGTCAATTCTATGGGCGGTCATTCAGTTTTGCGCTATGAGCTGGTGCAGAGTCCTGTTGGAATATCAAATGTCTGTTTTTGAACATTGTTTGAGGAAAAAGTTTCCACAATGTTTGTTAGGACGGTATTTTGGTACATCTCGGCACTAGGTTTTACACCTTTTTCACAGAAAAACACATAAGTTAAGCCTGAATATGAGGCTCCAAGCCAAACCATGAGTGACGAAGGATGTGCTCGTTGAACCCTCGGAATACGCGTGCTGGCTTCTTCACTGCTGTGGCATACACATTATCATTTTCTTTATACCTTTCTTCGATGTTAAAATTTTTTTCATCTGAAAACAAAATTTCGCGGTATTTTTTTCCCGCGTACCGCCGTAACTGATCTGCCAGATCTATCCAGCTTAATTATTTTCAAACGCTCTTTCAAACAATGTCCGATCTTCTTACGATAAGCTGGTAGTCCTAGGTCTTCATTGATTTTTTGTTTACGAACAAGATTTCGTTGTTTCGCGCCTTCACTGCTTTGATGATCGCGGGTGTCCTAACTGTACGAGGTCGGCCGTTCCTCTTACGGTCTTCGAAGCTTGAATCTTCAGTGAATCGTTCGATAGTCCGATAAACAAATCGTAGGGTTATTTCATCGATATAAATGACAAGATATGGTCGTGCGAACAAAAACTTTTAACGGTTTAAGCATAGAATAAATCAGCGCCATCTCTTAAATACTCATGAACTACCACGGAACCAGTGTTTCCACTTATGATTTTGGTTTTATCCTAGAACCTGTAGAAATACTCCCTAAATTATCGTAAAAAAATCTAAATAGCCTTATTTATTGCACCTTATTTTGAATATTTTAAAGAACAACAAAATTATCAATGCAAGTTTTGAATATCGTTTCATGATTGAGTTTTGTGATGAAGAAGACGTTATCATTTTCAAATTATAATAACACTTAGTCTCATAGAAATAATGAATCTATAACTAAGTAAAATATTATACCATTATTTCGATATACAGAATGAAAAACTTTTTCATTCTACACTTTTCTAGCTCTTTTGACACTATCCTCTTCGATAAACCTATAAAAAAATTACATTGAGTGGGTTTAGAAAACAGGGTTACCTGAAGTTCGATTTCACCCCAAATTATCTATAACCAACTTCAAGAAACGCCTAAAGCCCTACCTATATTAGTAGATTTAACACTGCACAGACGCACGGCCCGCATCCCGCATATGAGCTCGCGTTGGTGCTCCATAAACATTTTCGCACCAATGAGTCGGTGCCATTTCGTTTGTTCAATGACCCGGTCCATACACAGTATTATAGTCTATGGGTTATTTTCAATTTTTGTAGAATATTGAAAATTTCTTTGGTAACCACAGCGGTGTAACGCGATAACCGCTACACTATCTTCTTTCTTCGACCACTCCATGTTTGAAAATTAATGTCTTTTTTATTTTAGGCGAGCGCAAACATTATATTTTTAAAATTAGTGAAGTTCATCTAGCCATTATTCAAAAATTTTAAATAATAAGGTTTTGATAGAACTTATAAACCGACTAAGTATTTAATAGTCAATTTCATTTCTTGGTGTCGTCACAGAATTGATAATTCATACTTATCACCTTTTGCTGATGAGAAGTTGTCAAGAAATCGTCATTGTCCTAAACAAGATGTTTTCATTTCGTGAGAATATTATGATACTACTTCAAAGGTTATTTTATTGGTACCAGTGGGAAATAAAACCACTTGACTATAAGGACTATGTTACAAAAATCTTATAATTTATAATAACTACTCTCGCTCAAGGAGATAACAACAGACTTCTATTGCACAATAATGTCTCTACAAGTTTGCAGACGCACAACCCCGCGTCAGGTGGCAGGCCACCAGAGTTGCATTATCTATAACAAGAAGGGTTGATTCGATACAAGGAAATAAAATTTATAAATTCTCCATACTTTTCTTTCGATACCAAGAATTTAAAATCGAATGAATTCTTTCAATACCGAGTAGGTACCGAGGTGGTAGTACTTACTTTTTAAGTTTAGAACTTCATCGTTTTACCATAAATACGTAACTATTTACAATTATCTAATATTTTCGTTACGATGCGATCATTTAAGCCGACGTTGAAGCCATCCCGCCGAGCCGCTTCAACGTCAGCCGCCGCTCTTCCCTACTAAATTTCACGCACACATTTGCGCGTGTACAAACGTCATTTGCCTATGTAGTAGTAATAGGTAATTTGCGAGCTTTGTATGGAATGTCCGCGGTGTGATAGCGGGGATTATTTCCCAAAACGGTTGGCAATTGCTTTACCGGACGTCTTGCTTCTTTGACGCTGTTTCCCCATTACCAATCTGTGTATTTTTCATATGGTATAACACGAGATGATTAACCGCCACTTCGTGGCGAACGGCTTTAAGATTTCACATGACAAATAATAGGTTTTGTGTTCTGGTTAGTGGTTATATTGTAATTGCCATGGTATCATAACCTATCATATCATCTGGTAGTATGTATGTATAGACTATAGATCATATTTGTGGAACTATAATAACTCCTAAGCAGTTAAAAGTTTTTTAGAGTAATTAGACGTCACAATAGTCGATATTGGGAAATCATCAGTTAAGAATCAATATTTTATCGATAAATTCCAGGGTGCAAATCCGGCGATAGCCAGGAAACAAGTATCAGAGCTATCGGAGCAGTTTCAAGCCGCATTGGTTGCATATGATGAAGGTCTGAGTGAAGACAGAGTTATGGCTTCAGCGGTCTGGAGGAGATTCTATGCATTGTCGGACGATGTTAAAGCTGAAAATGTTGAAAGCATTGTACATTTTATTCGGCATCAGGTAATCGGAAATTTCATAAGATAATTTATCTTTTCACTTAATAATTGAAAGCTGAAATTAACAAGTCACATATTTTCAATTGCAGCTATCAGAACTTGACAAGATATCGAGTAAAGATTTAAAATGGAAACCTAATTTTACCTGGTTAAGTATAAATGATCACTAACTAAAAACGAGTGTAAATACAACATGTAAAATAAATAACGCCTTAGAATGATTGTTTATTGTTATTTATTGTTTTTTTAAGTAATAAAAATAATAATTATTATGCTTTATGTTTTGAATAAAACTCTTTCCGAAGCTCTTCACATTTTTCCCTTTGCCAGAGAACAGTTGTTACGATTTTACACAGATTATCCAACTTGCATTCGCTATTGCAGAACGGCCATCTTGTGTCACTCAATTTTGAATAATACGCGGAATACAAATCTAATAAGTTAGTGTTAGTCGTCACCATACGATGAACCAAGCGGTCCATTGTCTCGGGATTTAAATTACTGATAGCAAAATCGTTTTTCATGTCGTACAGTTGAAACCAATGTGGCCGGCGGTCGGGTGTCAAATTTGCTTCTGTTAAGTTATACACGTAGTTTACTATGTTTTGTGGCTCCTGAAAACAAAAAAATATTGTTGGAAATAATAGGATAATATTGAGTCACCCAACTTCTAGTGTTAGCTTTTGCAATCGCATAAGTTTTGTATGAAAAAAATAATGGAAGTATTAAATATCTAATCTATAGTGTAATATGAGTACCGACGGAGGATTTCGGTCTGGCCAATAAAATCATAACTTATGGTGACGTAACTTGGCATGGTGCCGCGATACCATTCACTCGCGATATTCCCTAAATATATGCACCCTTGGGATTGAAATTTTTTCGGCAATATAAAGAAGCAATTATTGGAAACAGTCGATAGCATAGAACACTATTACTCGCTAGAGGTTGATACAGTAGTAAAGAGTTAGATGATTCCTTAGAAAATGATAAGGTTTGATAATGTATGTATGCAGTGTTCAAAATAATATGACAGCAGAAGTGGCATAGTCTAATATGAACCCTATGTTAAAAGCCTTGATATCTTTTTTTTACATTTATGTTACTTAATCAACTATGATTTTAAATTTCATTTAAAAATAAAAATCTTAAATTATTCTTCAAGTAAATTTGTTATTAGACATTTAATAATGTTCTCAATGTAAATACATCAGATACGTACAAATGTCGATGGATCGAAGGTAGCAATTTTATAATTTAAATTATAATTGCTATATGCAGTCGCGCCGCCCCCTCCCCAAGCTACATTGATAGGTCTACCATCAGACAAACTATAAAATATCTTAAACTCATCCGAGTGAACGTGGCCGTTGAATTCGGCTGCGATTGTTGATGAAAATCTGAAACAACGTTTTAATTGTTATTATTTTGTAACTATTGTATAGTATGATTTATGATGATGTAATTAAGTACTGATTTCTTCCCGTGAAGATAGAACTCGGGTACATCGCGTATTAGGAAATTTAAAGGTGAATGCGTATCCCCTGGCCATGAAGCGATAAAACATTGTAAGGAAATCAGCATGTTTGTAATAACTTATTGGGATAACGCGGCGGACTTTTACCTGCTACAAAAAATCGTGGTGTGACCATTGAGTTATACAATATAAATCAATGGGTGTGACTGTGTCGTGAAACGACCTCAAAACGGCGGCGCTCCTCCCTCTGCTGTGCGTGATGCGTCACAGTTCTCACTCAACATAAGACATTTTTTGATCAGTTAGCTATCGAGGAGGACAATTAAATGTTGGATGTAGAAGATGGTTATGTAGCTGCAAAACCAAACTGAGTTCCCCAATTTTGTTTTCATCCGTTTTTTTAATTGATTTCCATAATGGAGACAAATTTAAAGAGGTATTCACGTCAAAAACCGTCTCAGAAATGATAGATCTGTTTCGAGAAACGGCCCGATTCTGACCTTGGCGACTATTTTCATACGCTATAGGATCTCTATATCAGATTGTAGATACAACTACACACAACACACTTCTTAAAATCGAATGTTTTTGAAGTAAATTTACCTGTTAACTATTCGGTTGTATTCCCTAGTCCATACATAAGGAAAATCATGGACTCCAGGCGGTATGTGAGTCAGTATGTGAACCTTTTCTCCAGCCAATTCCGCTTTATAGAGCTCTTGTACGAGCCAATCTAAATGACGCTTTGGCTCCAAAGGGTCATATACTAGCCACCTGGAAACATTTTATCATTCGGAAAATGCATATAATACATAATAAGTATACAACAACCGTTAAATTTTTATGAGGAAGTTTGTTTTAATATATAAATTACGTGTCACGTTGTTCGTCCGCGATGGACTCCTAAACTACTCAACTGATTTTAGTAAAATTTTCACACCGTGTGCAGTTTGGTCCATCTTGAGAGTTAGGATAGTTGTTTTGCCCATGAGTGACCCACAACTTTTTTTGCGAATTTAATTTTTAATAGGACATGACAAAAGTTCGTCGAAAAGGGCAGAACAACGTCTGCCTGGCAAGCTAGCGTGAATATATAAATAAGTATAAATATCTGAAATATATTAATATTTTTTTCTATTTTTATTTTTAGAACGTTACCAATTTACATACACAAATTTCACATGGATAAACATCCATTTGTAGGCCATACAAATACCGTTCCGTACGAGATTCGAACCCGTCGCTCTCAGCGCTGCAACTCATTGCTAAGCCACTGCGCCATGGTGTCGTAATTATAATTATTATATCTTTAATAGTCTCTAGAGCAGTGATGCACAGACTTACCACTCGGGCAAATTATGAACTGATGGCGGGCCGCCAGAAGTAGGTATAGGTAATTATGAACTGATGGTGGGCCGCCGGAAGTATAGGTAATTAAAAACAATAAAGAATTGATAATAATGTATTAAAATTGAAAAAGAATTTATTAATTTGAAGCGTGGCACTGCATAGTGCTTACAATCTTTTTTTTTATATTTGGCTCAAATTTACTTGTAGCAACGCGCAAAACTGCTTCCAAACTTTCATTTGCAAGGCGGTTTCGATTTTTTGTTTTATTATTATTTAGTATTGAAAAGGTTTGTTCACATATATAGGTAGAACCAAATAAGCTGGCACATTTCAGAGCGTTTATGCGCAATTCTTTGTACGTATTTTTATCAATGCAGCGGTAAAAGTTCAGCAAGTCTCCTTCGTTGAATGTGTTGCGTAAATCTTGGTCGTTTTGAATGTCGATAATTTCTAACTGAATTGACTCTGGCGCTTTTTTAACTGAAATCGTGAAAGGATTGCTGAATATGTCCAACAGAGGATTCACTTTTTTAAACAAATACAAATAAACAAACATCATTTTATTGCCACTTTTAAAAAACATGTTTACATATAAACTAATTATTTAATCTTAATTTAATTTAGGCAAACGGAGGTGACTCAGCTTTTGCTTACATGGAACTAGATCCCATGAAGCGCTGGTTTTCAGGCACTCCTTCTTCCCTGAGATGTTACACGGGTGTTATGAGCATTTCGAGTTCCCTAATCACCTCTTTCATTTACTCATCTATCATTGGAATTTGACATGGTATGGTTGTGAAATTTCATAATTATTAATTAATAATTCTTGCATTCGTGCGCGCGCGCTTCGCGTTCAGTTTATAATACACGGGGATGTTTTATAAGCGTTATATCATAATGTTAAAAAATAGTCTCTTAAGTTTATGTATTTCCAGTTTATTCCAGTATGTTTCAAGTTTTCTGCAGCAATTTGCCGCTTCAGCAATGCTGATTTATATTTAGCTTTGAAGCTTTCTGTACTTATTTTATTGCTTATGAGCAATAAAATAAGTACAGAAAGGATCAAATCAAATCGTTCCATATCCTTGCTGCAACAAATTTGAAACATCCTCTGTACCGCGTTGTTTTATGTTTTGGCATACTTAACATGTTTAACGAGTTTGTACGAAGGCTTCTATGTGAAATGTCTTTGATCCATAGGAGTTTTTCAAATAGGTACTCAGGCTTTTTGTTCCATATTACCCTATGCACTGTACAAGCGTACTGAAGCTCCCTTCTAGCACTCAAGTTAAGTAAGCACTTTTTATTTAAGTACGGGGTAATAGATTCTCTTTTGGGCACATTAAAGCAAAAACGAACACAGGCATTTTGCACTCTTTGTATTGCCCTCTCTGTGTTAAACTTTAGTCTTGGACCAAAGGTGGAACTGCAGTAATTAAATTGAGATAGTACCAGAGTATCACATAAAAGTATCCGTAAATCCTCCTTAAGATATGGTCTGATTTTGTAGAGAGTTTTCAGCTTGAAAATGATGTCTTTATTTTATTATTAACGTGATCAATAAATTTTTGTTCCCCATCTAAAATCAGGCCGAGATTACGGGCAGAGGTTACTTGTTCCGGAATAACATTATTTATTTTTACTTTTTCTCCAACGTCTAATACATTTTTTATTTGGCGTTTAGTGTCTAAGACCAACATTTGAGATTTAGCTGCATTGAGAACCAAAGAGTTATTTTCAGACCATGTGTGGATACTTCTCAGGTCATCATTAACTTTCTCAATAGCTTCTCGAGCGTCTTTACTGTGAAACGAGTAGTACAGTTGTGTATCATCAGCATATAAGTGATATTTACAAAACTTTATATGCCTAGGTAGATCTGCTGTAAAAATTGTAAATAAGACTGGACTAAGTATAATAATAATAGTACTAGTTTAATATAATAGTACTAGTTTTAAACTCCGAAAATCTGTCTTGAAAAGATGAATCAAAATATCTAGCTTTTCTACATAACTGAAATTATTCGCAGTTTTGTTGAATTTTTCAGCCATTTTCTTATAATTCGGAAAATGATTGTAATTTCCAGAATTCAATTGCGATCTGAAAAGTGTCAGCTTGCATTGAAAGGATGATACATAAGCGTAGAGCTGGGATATCAGTTGATTTTTGCCTTGAAGCCGTGTGTTCAAGACATTAAAATGATTTGTAATATTAACTAAAAAAGCCAAATCACTTTACACATACATACTTTGAAGTTTTATTTTTATTTTATTTTAAGTTTTTTTGTTCTTAATACTGCAGAAGTCTGATCTTTGTTATATTTTGAAGTGTTGTTCTTTTTGTTTTATTTTGAGTTTTTTGTTCTTAACACTGCAGTAGGCTGATCTTTGTTATATTTCGAAGTGTTCTTTTTGTTTTATTTTGAGTTTTTTGTTCTTAACACTGCAGAAGGCTGATCTTTGTTATATTTCGAAGTGTTCTTTTTGTTTTATTTTATTTAATCTATAAAATCTTTGTTATATTTCGAAGTGTTCTTTTTGTTTTATTTTGAGTTTTTTGTTCTTAACACTGCAGAAGGCTGATCTTTGTTATATTTTGAAGTGTTCTTTTTGTTTTATTTTGAGTTTTTTGTTCTTAACACTGCAGAAGGCTGATCTTTGTTATATTTCAAAGTGTTCTTTTTGTTTTATTTTAAGTTTTTTGTTCTTAATACTGCAGATGCAGAAGGCTGATTTTCAGTTTATATAATAAGAATAAGACTGACGAATATTATATTATAACGTAATATTTATTGTGTTTTATTTTAAAATAAATGATATCAATAAACGGAATTAATAGTATTAGCGAATGTTTTTTGTAAAAATACCCAATTGGGCGAGATCTCGAAAATCTCGTAATTACCGTAAAGCCAGTCTCGCGAGATCTCGGCTAGGTCTAAAATCTCGCGAGATTGCATTCCCTAGTCTCCACCAATAACTTGAGTTAGGGTTTACAATTTCAAAGTCGACGGAACTAGAAATTGAAATTTAACGAAAGTACCTTGTAGATGAGTTACCGCTGTTGCTGTTAATTTTTTTATAAGATAAGGGTGACAGACGAGCACGAAGTCCACTTGATGGTAAGGGTTGCTGTGGCTCATAGACATCTACATCTATCCTCGATTACGAATCAACATGCAGATGCGTTGTCATCCGTGAGGACTAAGATGGAATGCCTCGTTTCCAGTAAAAAGGATCTCCGGTTCTCTACACTCACCATACGAAATACAATAGCGTTATGCTGCTATTCTGTGACAGCTTGGTCCTTCCCCGGTCGAGCCGATCCATTCGTGCGACAACTATATTACTAATACAGCTCCAGTATGGCTCTACCACGTAAAAAAATCATCGTCATATATTCTTCTTCACCAGGGGTCATTAAAGTCCACTGCCAAACATGGACCTCCCCCGATATAGAGAGGATTTGACTTAATCCTAACGATTTGCAGATAGTAGTAGATGTGTCATATCTCACTAGACGGTGCTGGCCGTCGCTGATCAGGGTAATTAACGTCTGGGCTTAACGAGGTCCATCTCTTTGGTACAAACGCCATCGATTGGAAGTCATAAGATCTTTTTTGTATTTTCGGTAATTGATTTTTAAGACATTCACGGGGTGAAATGGGGGAAAAAGAATTATAAATTCTTTTACGCCGCTACCAAACGAAAACATTAGATGATAAAAGTACATATAATTTCCGTAAATGGTTCCTTTTATCTATCTACATATCGTTACATAAACTTGTTTGTGAACATTAAATATCCTTAATGGTTATTAGAATGATAAGTTTTTTTTGAAAATTTTAATTTTGAGATTTCTCAAAATCTACTGGTTTGAATCGTTTCAAGTGATAGAGATGGGCTGAATATGGATTTCACCGAATACGAATATTCGGCCGAATATTATTCCGCAAGATCACCTTGGTGCCGAAACAAAATTTATGTCGAAACTTGTTGCCGTAAACCGCGCGGGATTAGCGCCGGACCCTGCCCTTCGCTCCCCTGCCAACACCCGATATGTTATTACACCATCTAGTACTGAGCAAATTGCCGGCACATGCATGTTTTGACTATTCTTGTGATAAAAAAAGTATTTCGTTGTGTTATTCTTAGTAAAAATTAATAATTATACTATTTGGACTTACTTTAGAGAAACTGACGACCAAAGTAAAGTGAAATGTACTTATGTAATGTAATGTTTCTTTAATTGATTATAGAAATATTTTATCAGGCATTCTATTTGCTATAATTGGAAATAAATCTACAGTGCCTTAAAAATGTTATATTTTAAGTAGAATTTAGCCCATAAATAAATTATACTTTCAACAGTAAAATTATGAAAGACATGGCATTAATCAATTCGTACATTTCAATACAGTAGATACCGAGTACCAATTAAAAGAATGTTCGGTGATTTAGCCGCATATTCGGTAAAGATGGCGAATATGCCGAATACCGAATATGAAACAATTATTCGGCTCATCTCTATCAAGTGGTATAGAAAATCTAAGTTTAGTGAAGCCATTTCGAACGCCGCCGAATTCGTTCAAATCAGTCAAGCATACATCGACACACACACACACGCACGCGCGCGTATACATACACACATACATACAGACAGACATAGTGACATCCTCGTAGAAAAAACTGGGGTGAAACCAATAACTTCCCGATTTTTAAAATCATTAAGTGTCACAGCGGGAAGTTAAATATTCATAAAATCGATCGAGCCGTTTTCGAGTTTTAGCGATACTAACAGGCAGCAATTGATTTGTATATAAGAAAGAAGTACCCGGATGACCGAGCTTTGCTCGGTTTTTTTAAATTAGATTTAGATACAAATTACATGAATAATATTTTTGATCTTATTGACATAATAGAAAAAACTGAACTGGTTATTTGAATAAAAAATCATGAGTGCAATTAGCTTAATTAAAATTTTTGTATTTTTAAAATACTAAAATTCTCGAATTAATAGATTTTCTCACAAATGAAGGGAACTCGAAAAAAAAAAAGGAAAAAAGTCGGACCAAAGACGGGACGCGAACCAAGGGATTACGATTTCACGACCGCTCGATATTCACTATTACGATTCATTAACAAAGTGTCAAAATTTACCTTCTTATATTGTAGCAGTTTTTCATTGCCTGAAAACACGGACAAAAAGACATTTTCTAAAAATAAAGTCCCCGAAACTCCCTGGACACTAAATTTTATGAAAATCGTTGGAGCCGTTTCCGAGATTCCGATTATATATATATGTATATATATATATATATATATATATATATATATATATATATATATGTATGTATATATATATATATATATATATATATATATATATATATATATATATATATATAAGAATTGCTCGTTTAAAGGTATAGGATAAGAAGATAAGTAGCCTTACTTAAAATAATAGACATTAAAATTAAGGAGGTTGTTAAAACAAATAACTAAATAGAGTTTCGAACACGATTGATTCGCCTCAAGTGTATAGGTACGTTTGCATTACAACTCCGTCGTTAATATAAAGAAATTATCTTACCAGTTATATTTATAAGCCATGTTAGTATTAAGCGAAATAACTCTTAAACCGGGTTTTACTAATCTTGAAAAATCGCCTCGAACTCTAAACGTCGCCTTAGCTTCGTTGGTCAAGTAATAGTCCCATTTGTTCAATAAGGCTTCATACAACCAAGTGGTATTCAACTTTGGTGCTGTAACTGTAGGCGGTGCAAACCTGTAAAATAATGTATGCTGTATTGACATAGAATAAGGGGATTTTGTGTGGCTTGTTCGAATGTACGCTAATTCGCGAGTTAAGTTGGTTTGGTAGAACTTGCAGTAATTTTATTCCTCAGTTTCAGTATTTTTTATAGAAGAGGGGGCAATCGAGCATGCGGCTCATCTGATGGTAAGCGACTATCGCCGCCCATCAGCAACCGCAACGCCAGGGGAATTGCAGGTGTGTTGCACGCCTTTAAGAAAGGAGTAAGCTTAATGATTTCTTATATCCTATCATGGTCCCCCGTGACCATGGGTGCTGGAAAGCGCCCGAAACGTCGGGAATTAAAAAATAAAAGTAAAAATAAACGCGATAAAATCCGTAAAAGTAGTTTTAATCAAGGAGTAAGCTCTTTTCTTGAAGGTCCCTAAGTCGTATCGGTCCGGAAAAATCGCCGGTGGTAAACAATTCGACAGAAAAGTTGTATGAGGAGGAAAACTCCTAGTAAAACGCACAGTGGAGGACCGCCAAGCATCCAAATGGTGAGGATGGTATCGTGAATTTTGACGCAATGTGCTTTCATCCGCACAATTCCTCGAAACTCGTGTCTTCTGGGGATTGAACTGGACTACATGTAGTCCCCCCAATCCGAGACTTTGTTCAGCAAAGACTCGACTTCAGACACAAGTTTGTCCCGGTACTCGGCGACGTTTTCCCGAGAAATATTGGTACGGCCGGTGTATAAGGCATCACCAGTGCTTCGTCTGCATAGCAATGAATATTACCAGTTTGCTACATATCATTGATATGCAGAAGATAAAGTGTTGGTGATAGCACGCAGCCTTATGGAACACCAGGCTTGTAATCAGAGCATGCACCGTCTACTACGACCTTGATGCTCCAATTAACAAGGAAACTGGTGATCCAATTGCACAATTTCTCGGGATGCCGATAGGAAGAAAGCTTCGAAAGAAGCGCTTTGTGCCAGACCCGATCTAAGGCCTTTGCTATAACTATATCCATACTAACGGCCAATGCTTCTCCCTTGGACTCTACTGCCACCGCCCATCTATGAGTCAGGTAGACCAGAAGATCACCAGCTCATCGACCACAATGAAAACCGTATTGGCGGTCACTAATCAGCTGGTGATCCTCAAGGTACCTTATGAGATGGCAGTTTATAATTAACTCCATTATTTCGGAGAACAAGGCGGTGATAGCAATAGGCCTGTAGTTGGAAAGGTCTGAGCGGTAGCCTTTAAAAAAATAGAATAAGGGTGACAAACGAGCACACAGTCCACCTGATGGTAAGTGGATACTGTGGTCCATGGATATTAACATTTTTTTTTATTATTTATTAATGAATTTATAAGACAGTGGTGTTACTTAATTCTAAACTCGCCAAACTTTTACGTTTGATGGTGAGAGACGCTCCTTTACATGGCAATGAACCACCTTATGTACTCCTAATATTGGACACAATAATACACAATTATATAGATAACACAGTAATATATAAACCTATAACATCTTGTAGTTATGTTAACTTTATACATATACATATATATATATATATATATATATATATATATATATATATATATATATATATATATATATATATAACGTTATTTATATAAATTAAATACCTGATAGTTATATATTATATTGTTATGGTTTATTAATATATTATCGTATTTAGTTCTATTAGCCATCCTGTATAATGTTTTTTATGATATTTTACTAATTTTAACTTTATCTCTTAATAGATCTATTTTGTTAAACACTTTAGCTACCAAATACTTAGTTGTTCTCTTACCATAATAGTTTGTTATTTTTGGTTGAACCAGTTTGTTTTCTCTAACCCTATGTGTGTTGTATTTGTTTTTAACATTAACTTTATATTCATCATTATAATAATATTCCAAACCTACCAAATAATCTATTTTTTTATCTATGGAAATAATTTTACAAATGGGAAAGAACTTATTATAGTCTTTGTTGCATTTTTCTTTAACATTGTTAGATAATCATTTCTTACAGATTTAGCATTTCGATTATATGGCGAGTGTAATACATACATTCGGTTTTTTGTAAGATTGCCATTGTCGTGCGCCCATTTGCTAATGTTTTCAAAATCACATTGTATACACTTTTGTACTTCAGCTATGTCCTTGGAGGCATTCTCTTACGGATAGCGTGACAGGGGTTGCCTTGGTCTTATTGCTCCGCTTGCCCCGAACAGTTTTAGTCGCGAGCGGAATTTCGCCCCTCCGCTCAGAATACGCGGGGTAGCATGAGCACCCACGCTCAACAAAAGTAGGATAGCTTAGTCGTGGATGCTGAGCGAGGTAGTCTCCGTCACCAGGGGTGCTGGTACCGTCCTGGGGTAGTTTTTTAATTGATTCTGCTACCATGTTAGGGCGGGGGGAGGGGGAATTGGGCCTCCGTTGAGCTGTTGAAAATCCTCGGTTAAACTCCTGAATTCTACTGCGCAAGAACTCGAAATTCCGTCCTTATTATCTCGATGGCTGGTATAGGTGGAAGTTTCTGCCTCGCACGACCACTCTGTGGAATTAACTGTCGCCAACGATTTCTCCGAACAAATAAAATTTATAAAACTTCAAGAAAACAGCCTGCACCTTTCTAAAAGGCCGGTAACGCACCTGCAATTACAATGGTGTTGTAGATATTCATGAGCGACAACATATGCTTGTTTGCCTCCTTTTACATTAAAAAAAATTTAAAACGTCTGACTGTGCTTTAATTTTTATTTTTAATTACTTACTGATTTGTTGGTTGTGACTCGTGGTTTCCAATAGTTGGTACAATTAACACATTGTCTCCGAAGCTCTGTCTCATTTTTTCGATTAAATATAAATTAGTTTCATTTATCATGTCATAAGTGGTCTCCCATACAAAATGGTCTATGGTGTCACCGATGTAATACACAACATCAAACTGAAATAATTTGCATGAAAATATACAATTTTTTCATATGGATTGAATAGGTATGAGGAGATATATTTGCCATCTCTTAACATTGGGGTAATTTTATTTTTAATTAATGTAAGCAGCGGCGTAGTATTTGACGTGGTAGAGCCACACTTCGGCTATAATTACCTATGGGTCGGCTCTACCGGGGTAGGACCACGCACTCACAAAAAACCAGCTCAAAATAGCAGGTTATTGTGTTTCGTATGGTCAGTGTAGAGAACCGGAGACCCTTTTCACTGAAAACGAGGCATAACACTCCCCCCCCACGCCCATCATGTTCGCAAGTAGCTTTCTTAAAAAGGAAAGACACTAAATAGGTACGAAAACATATAAACAGCTATTTGCATATTGTTCCAAAGATAACTGCGTAGTTATCATCGACGAATGATTATCCCATTCAATGGATATTTGTATTTCACAAGACCTTAACCATATCGTATAAACACATCGCAAGCAGTGATAAACGATAAGACGTATAGTTAATACTGATTATTATGTTTTTATAATTTTTCAATTTATTTATTCAATTCGCAAGTAATTTTCACTTCATTATTTATATTACATTTCATTTGTAGAAATTTAAAAACGTTTGCATGATGAGAAACTAGTATTTATATCTCTACATAGTATAAAACAAAGTCGCGTCCCGCCGTCTGTACGCTTAGATTTTTGCTTAGAATGATCCAAGAGGAAGGTTTATAAGTATGTATAATACATGCATATGTTGTCGAGATCCAAAAATCATGCGTGCGAAGTTCCGGGGTGGATTGCTAGTGTAATATAATGGATACTTTGCGTGCCTCTAATGGACGACACACACTGTTATGGTCGCCACACACGGTCAGTTTAACTGATCAGTTCAAACTAAAACGGTTGATATTTTTTTAAATATCGGATTTTCGATATATCGATAAATAAACTTATATGTAAAACTCCGATATTAATATATTTATAACGATCGATATATCGAAAATCCACTATTTTAAAAAATATCAACAGTTTTAGTTTGAACTTATCAGTTGAACTGACCGTGTGTGGCGATCATTACTTCAAGTGATCATTCCAACTGTTCAGTTCAAACTAAGTTTACTGATATTTTTTAAAATATCGGATATTCGATGTATCGATAAGTAAACTAAATACTGCATAACTAATAATATAAAATTCCGATATTGATATATTTATAATTATCGATATATCGAAAACCCGACAATTGAAAAAATATCAACAGTCCTAGTTTGAACTGATTAGTCGAACTGACCATGTGTGTCGTCCATTTGGCACACACACAACTAAACCAAATCTGGTAACGGATTCACCTCTGTGTCCCTCTATTGCTCTATTATTGCCCCTTTTCTCTTTTACATCTGGATTTAAATTAAAAAAAAAAAACTACAACTAAAACATTACTAATTTAATCTTCGTTGCCAATTTTGTTTTAGTGCTATGTACCTACTTTCCTCATCACACAAGGAAAACACGACATGAAGGTAGGATTTGGTTTGAGTATGTGTCTGTGTGTTAGCATTAACTCCGGGCACTATATCCTGGACGGTTAGCTTTCTGTAGCATTGCAAAGTTCATTAGCATCAGAGTTATTTAACAAAGTATATAAGTATTTCTCATAATGAAAATAGTTTACAAACTGAAAAAATACCTGATGTGAGGAAGCCATCCTATCAATAACGTCATCAAATGCCCATTTTGGCGTGTCGCAGTTCCTGTAATCTCCCCAATATCCTGCCGGCGCAACATTTCTTGAAGTTTGAAATCTTGTACGGTACTTACTCCGTATCTCTTTCATTTTTGGCACCGCACTCATGTTTAACAAAATATCATCACGGTTAAAAACCACAATGTCCTGCACATCTACATCGTTTGCGATTGGTGTGTATGTGTAGGATTGAGAAATAGTTTGCCCTTTTCGACAGCAGGTTGGCTCTCCACAATCCGCTACTCCAAATGGCTCATATAACGGGTCTATATGTGTATCCGTAATAATTGCTATAGTGAGTGGAGACCCATCGGAAATAGAGGGCTATAAATGTCACACATCAAATTATGATTATGTTTAAAAACAAACAACACACATTGATCAATAGTTGTGATGATAATAGTGACAATTATGCAGTAATCTATAGTGACAATATATTAATTATTGTGTTGCCCTTTGTTCTTTATACTTCTATATTTCGGATTATTCCAAAACCACCTCCTAAGTGGGTGAAAATGATTTATAATTTTCACCCACATTTTCACTACACATTACATTCATACGTTTTAGAGCCATGCTGCAGTTATATTACTAGTATAATTGTAGCACGAATGGGTCGGCTTGACCGGGGAAGGACCACGCTCTCACAGAATGCCAGCGTGAAATAGTAGCTTGATGCTGCTGTTTCGTATGGTGAGTGTAGAGACCGGATACCCTTTTTACTGGAGACGAGGCATTCCTTCTTAGTCCGCATGGGTAACAGCGCATCTGCATTTTGATTCGTAATCGAGGATAGATGTAGAAGTCTATGGGCCGCAGCAACCACTTACCATCAGGTGGACTGTGTGCTCGTTTTTCACCCTATCCTATAAAAAAATACAGTTCAAGCTAATAAAAACGTGTTTTAAAGCGCACGTACGCTCTTCATTTGAATTTAATTATATTTTTTATACTAAAAGCTATTTTTAAAACTAGAATTATATATCTAAGCTATGAATCCTTCAATTAGGACTTTCTGATAATGGTATAGTATAATTTTTTTTCTTGTCTTTGTTTAGTTTATAAGGAGTTATCGATCAGCGTGAATATGATTTTGTGAAATATTTATAATTAAAAAAATTCTATATGAGATACATATAGACTTAGAATTGAGGATATCCGCAATAGAAACAGAGTAACCGATATATCGCACGAGTAATAAAATATACCGCTATTCATATAGCGCGAAGAACTGACAACTGATGGAGAAGAAAGGTTCCCGAGTGGCAGCGTTATATTGGTAAGCAAAGTGTAAGACGGCTCCCCAATATGGTCATGGTAAGTGATGCGGGAAGTCGAGGATGCAGGTGGTTCGGGACCGTGTTTTGTGGCATTACTTCGGGGAGGCTTATGATCAGTAGTGGATATGTGAATTGTCTGTAGGTAACAATACTTAATTAATTAACGGAATAAAAAAGACATTTGCACTTACGACTTCATCTTCTATTTGTTCCGGTAATTCAACCTGCCATTCAAATCTTGGGTCATCGTTGGTGCAAAAATTGGGATTGCCGACCTTTTGTAAAACAAGCCCACAAAAGTTTCTCGACGTTGCTTCAGGTGTATTTCTGATTATGTAAGTGATGATGTGCTATGAAATAAGTAAGTATTGTATTTTGAATAATTTCATAGTCCAGTTCAGTGTTTACAACGCACGCTACTAATGCGTGTTTATTTACGCGACGATGACGCGAGGTAGTGACCAAGCTATTTCCTATTTGTTTTGTGCTGTTAATTATTGTGTAACAGACATGACAGTAAGCTGCTTCTATTAAAGACCCGCTGGGTTTCTTGCTAGTTCTTTCCAGGACAGAGGATTTCGTCGGAACCAGTAGTAAATAAACAAAAGAGTAACTTTCAATAAGTATCTATTATTTATAACCTATTCTGAATAAAATAGTTTCCGTTTTCTGTTTATGTTACGAATGTATGTAAGACTGGGTTAACCCATTTAAATCGTATCTAAGTCGTATGGTGACGTGGCCGCATAAAAGAATAACTTGCCACTTACCCCATTTCGTCACGTGGCTATCGTAAGACATGACTATAGAAAAGGCGAGACCACGGCTTCAGTAGTTTCATATGTCTGTGAGCTAGACCTACCTGTACAAGTACATATTCCAGAAGTAAAATAAATAACCAAGCTCCTCACGACAAGCAGTGTCAAAGGTGCGAGACGTCTGATTCTGCTAACGCAAATCGGTTTGCCAATCGAGCGGATTCAAGCAAATCCTTCGTACAATGGGAGACCCATGTCCAGGCAATGGGCTTTTACGGATTGATAAAGTAAAAAGTATAATGGAATGTAATGCTCCGATGAAAGTACTTTTATGAAAATAAAATTTTTGTTCTTTTTCAATTTCATATTTTTAATACTTTCATATTTTAAACCAGCACTAAAGAACTCCAGATTTATGATATTGCTTGGGCAAGAAGTTTAACTATCGAAAAACCATTTTAAAATCAGTTTTTTTGCTATTACCTCGAAAACTATTTACGATGTCTGAAATACTCGAAACTTTTGCTTTTTTTTTGAGAAAATCTGTTTTTTTTTTTCATCATTATCATTAGTTTTTGATTGCATTTGAATCAGCTTTACAGCAACGTCGTCCACGACGTGGTGGTTCTGAGAGAGAGACTGATATTGAGCAAAATCATAGAGCTTAAATGAACGTGTTGATTAAAATTCTCTTCAGCGTCCATGCAAAATCAAGCATGTTTGCAGATAGCCATGCTCGATGACACACAATTACATTCTTCTTAGCAGAGGTCTTGACCACTTAGTCACGCTTAGCAGGCAGATTGCAGATCGAAGTACCAGAGAGGTCTCGCACCGGTGACGCTGCTGTTAGCTGCCGGTCTGACTATTCTAGCAGAACGCTGCTATCTATCGAAAGAAATAGGATATTTTTGGCTACTCCCATATAAATCACATCTTACGACATCCACGGATTAAATTGGGCACCGTTCGGCACAATACATTATAATCCTAATGATTATATTCATTAGATACATTATAATCATTAGATAAAGACACAAAGATAAACAAATATTTCAAATTAATATTATTAGATATTGAATTAAGTACAATTTACCATTAGGTAAGTACCGTATGCGGTAGTTACTAATTTTTCAGTAATTATTAAGCGGTAATTTGTCAGCAGTAATGAGTGGTTAGAATAAGGTTACATTAAATGTTATAAAAAATAATAAAATTTTGTGAAACGTAAAATTTTTGCCAACATACAAATTTTCAAACAGTATAATATAAAACTCTAAAAGGGTTTGCTCAGAGACTCTATTATCACATTATATATTACCAGATCACGACTCCAGTAGATACGGTCTTACTACTAATCGCAAAATATTAGAAAGAGGAGTAATATTTTTTTATAATTTACTGAAAAAGAGGCAATAAACGTAACAAAATTTCATAAGAGTAATTAGACATACCAGGTTTAAATCAATTACTCCACTACAAACATTTTCGCTTTCTATATTTAGTAGGGTGCATATATTTGCTATCGCTTGTGTTAAGTCTTCATCACTTGCCCCGTCTTTGACCAATTGAAATAAAGCCGAAAAAGCGCTTCTGCATAATAAACAATCCAGGCTCTGAAAAAATAATATTTGAAGCTTGGTTTACATACTTGACATAATTATAAGCAACAAAAAATACCAATAGAACTTGAGTTTTAATCATATTAGGTATATAATTTATAGAAAAATCAATTCATGGTTTTATCTTTAACATGATTATAGTTTTATATTGAGTTAACATGATTTGGGTATGTTACCAATTACTATCACGGCTACTCTTAACGATGTGCAGATGTCAAGAACATAGATTTTTTTAAAGGTTATCTTTAATAATAATGAAATTGGCACCCGCGTAAGCTCGCAACCTCTCCATTTCGATTATAGGTTTACTGCTTTGGGTATTAAACTTTGCATACTAATTGAACTAACTATAAAGCTGGGCTTATGTGTTTTATTTTATTTTTTAAATTACCATTATTATCACTGTAAAAAGAATTTTACCTGAACTATCGGCGTCCTGAAACTTGGAACCGGGCGGCAGGGAACAAAATAAAAAACATAAGCCCTGCTTTATAGTTAGTTCAGTTAGTATGCAAAGTTTCATGATCTTATTTAAAGTATTTTATGAATAACAGCGGTTTATTGTTCAGTTTGAAGGTAAGTTTGAATTTTTTTTCTATCGAGAAAATTTTATGGAATCATGTTTTTGTCTAACATAGTACGTTTAACATTAATCCTCAACTTTACCATATATTTATTTTAAAATTAATGTTGCAATATTTTCGCCATAACGGAGGATCTTGCGAAGCCATTTGAGGTTCTATTTCCCCTTATAGAATGATATATCTGAAACCTTTTGTTGGTTATTTAGCATCTATCCACACAAGAGTAATAGTAGGAACAACTTTTTGCCATTACAATTGATCAAATATACATAATATATACGTAATTTTTAAATTACATTAAAACTTTTTTACAAAATTAGGTATTTACAAATAACTATTTACGTAAACAGCGTTAAAAAACTTTAGCATTCTATCGCTTACAACGCGCTGGTCCCGACTGCGTATGTTACCCTGGGTACCTACCTACGTAGTACTCACAGACCACCTGGGTGGTCTGTGGTAGTACCATTATTTATTCTGTGCCCTGGATGCCTCGCGATTCTAGGCAATTGTTGCACGCAGGTACCAAGAGTGACAGAGGGCTGGTCCCGTGTTCACAGTGATCTCCTTTATCATTTAATTATTTAAATCAACTTGCTTGAAACCAACGTTTTGAAAGCAAGTTACTCTCATTCGAAATATTTTTAAAGTTTTCAGTTTTGCTAGATATGCAAGCATGCTTGTGCAAATTTCCAAGTCGTTTCTTCGTTCATTATATTCACACAAATTGAACATTAATTTTTAAATTGATTCCATTTTTCTTAATCTACGGACACGTTCACGAAGGTAGGTAGCAAAACGTCATTCACGTGGTTTTAGACTCTCACCGATATCGACACAGCACTATTATTTTATTTACTCTGACAAATAATACAGGTTGCATTATTTATCAGAGTAAATAAAATAATATTTTACTCCGACAAGTTCGGTTTGTTTAAACTTGTGTTGTGATCAAGAAAATGGAATCGATTTAAAAAATATATTTAATTTCTGTTGGCTGACATTGACTTCAAAAATATTTATTCACTGTGAATACTTTTATTTTGTGTTTAATTATTGTTTTAAAATGTAGACAAAGTGTAGTAGTTTTGTCAATCTAAGTAAAACATTATTTCACACTTTTAACAACTTCCCTGTCCGTGAAAAGTCACAATAGTTAAATAATTGAAATTTTCATTTAAGACTCACAGGACAGTGAAATGGTTGAGTTCGCCATTCTAGAGGTGGTTATTTTGTCGTTAAATAAATTTAATACCGGCATTCGAAGCAGATATTTTCTTTTGTTTTTTTTTTAACCGACGTATTCGCAGAATATGGCATTTATTTCATCATCTATATGGGCTTGTAGCGTCCCCGTTATCGGCCGGGTCGTTACAGATGTAGATATTTATTGAGAATACTCACCGAACGCACTTCCGACTGATACTCTGTTTTCGAGGTCACGTATGTAGGTCTTCGAAGAATTTCAAAAATGTCTTCTTGTAATTTGTACTCTGATGGAGATAACTCAGCATTTCTTAAATATTTTTCGAACACCACTTCTAATTGATCTAGAATATACAAACAAAATCCCATTAAAATAAATGTCCTCATGTTCCAGAATACGTACGGAAAAATCTAGTGGCATTGTGGTGGCGTCTTATGAGGTCATCATACCATCTCCTGTAGGTCGTTTTAGAGAAAATCCATGATATTAGTGCCTAGGAAGGCAGGTACATTTATTAACGACATGTATAAAGCGCACATCTGCTGCCCGTGCCATGCAATATGTAATACGGTGTTCAAGAGGCACCTACTAGTGACATCATTAATTTCTGGCTCATTTAACTACCGCATATCTTGCAAACCATCGAGATTTGCTTCGCTATTGGCATTAGCTAAAATGGAGCGATTGCTTTACGTGTGAAATACGACTTTAGTAAAGCGAGCGTGATAGTCGTAGACGTACTCGTAGACCTTCGATCAACAATACCAACTGTTGATCAAAGATGTAGACGGTGAAACTGGGTAACCTTAACCGTTGTTTTTATCATTGTTCACAGAATATATTCATTTTTAATTTTTAATTTTTCTTTTATAGAAGTAAGGGAGTCACTAGCACACAGGCCACTATTAGGGTATTAGGTAAGTGGATGTTGTGGCAAAGGTATTTTTTTGGGTTTTAGCTTTATAGCCAATGCATAAGTTTGCCCGAATCTGTTAGTAGGTTTATTCTCTTATCAGCTAATCATTCGCCGCACAAAACGGAAGGGTTTTCTAGCATTATATTAATATTCACAATTAAAATTACAGCTAATTTGTAAAAAAGCAAATGACAAACCAATTTAATATACCTAGTCAGGTACACACTTTACCAATGAGCTCTATATTTAAAATGTTTAACGGTTTTTAACCGACTTCAAAAAAATCTCTCTCTGTAAATATTTTTTATGTATATTCGGGCATAACCTCTTTGGTTGATTGATTTGATTGTTCTTTCATTAAATATTTTATACTCCGGGGTTGTACCTTTTTTTTTTAAATAATTTTATAAAAGTTAAAAAAATAATTCACCGGAGCATGATTTATAGGGATGAAGTTTTTAATGTAATCCTTCATTCAAAGGTGTAAAAAAATAAGGTTCTAAGGCACTAACCTTATTAAAGAATACAACCTCCAACTACAGAAGCAAATTATTTTATTGTTTTTAGGTTTTGAAGCCGGTTTTTAATTCTTTTAAAGTGTAAATGACAACCAAATTCAAACGAAGAAGGCTCCGGTGTAATTATGCTAATAAAGTTTATTTACTATTATTATTTATTATTCTATCGTAAGTTATCGTATCCTATCGTGTTCTCTTGTATTCTATAGTATTCTATCGCATTATATCGTATTCTATCCTATTACATCGCATTCTATCGTATTTTATCTTACACTATTGTTATCGTATAGATTTTTAAGGACTATGATGAAATGCCTCATAGCCGTTGTCTCATAGTAATTATACTGCGTATTTCTACCCTTCACTAGTACTATTATGTATTCTGTGCCTTCACACCAGAACACAGCAGTGCATACACTGCTGTTTAACGGCTCAAGTAGGTAAGAGGGTGATACAAACCCAGACGATAGATTGCTCATAAGTGTCTCAACATCCAGACAAACCCGTAAGGGTTATTGTGATGTTTATATTGTGATTTTCTTTACTTTTTTGTTATATTAAATAGAAAAAGAGAACCGAGACTCTTTTTACTGTAAACAAGGCATTCTGTCTTAATACTCAGGGGCGACAACGCATCTACATTTTTAATCGTAATCGAGGATAGATATGTAAATGTCTATGGAACACAACAATCACTGACCATCAGGTGGACTGTGTGCACGTTTGTCTCCGTGCCGTGGTAGCTCAAGAACTGCGTGATTGTTTTAAATTTTATTGTACCATGGATATAAATTTTAAAGTTGGTAATAATTACTGCGCGCATATCTAAAAAAGGATTCCTACAGCCTGGACCCTAGGTGAAAGGTACTGAAGTGGTTGCTAGGTCCTAGGTTTTAGTAACTGATCATGCGTTCTTTAAAATTAATACGTAGGTACACCACTGTATTTTTATGTAGGTAGGAAGAGGTCCCCAAGAACCATACACTTATGGAAAAACAAAAATAAAAAAATCGTCTAATACTTAGAGTCCTGTGGTCGTGGAAGGAAAATGAGAGATCTCCCGCCGGGCAAGGTGTTCTGCCCGGGGAGCGGCCAACACTCCGTGTGATGGTTCGGAGATGTTCTATATATATACTGTTTATGATTCGGAATGTTGATAGCGCGATTTAAGGCTTCGGTGTGTTTCGCTTGTGGCGCGACGACAGCGCCGCCACATCACCCCCCTGCTCAGACCGGAGGTCGATAGTGCAGCCTCGTTGCCGACGAATGTGCAAGTGCCAGGAGATTGCCTTGTAGTCTGCGGTGAGTCGAGAAGAAGGCAAGAGTAATCTGCGAGAGTGCCGTGAAGCAGAGGCGAGCAGTAAGGCTCAGAGCCGTGCCGAACACTGTATGGCGCAGAGAGTAGCTTGAAGGAACAGGAAGCATTATTATTCCAGTGCTGCGATGAACCTTGTGAAGCTAGGTGACTTGCAGGATATGAAGACTGCTGATGATATCTGCTCGGGAGCGAATGGGTGGGGTACTCTATGACGATGATGAAGCTTGAAGTTTCCGAAGGTTGTTGGTTGCGTGTTCAGATCACGTCGGGGTCACCACTGTGGCCGTGGAAGAAAAATGGTAGATCTCCCGCCGGGCAAGGTGTTCTGCCCGGGGAGCGGCCAACACTCCGTGTGATAGTTCGGAGATGTTCTATATATACAACTGTTACCACGTTCGATCTAACAATGATTCGGAATGATGATAGCGCGATTTAGGTTTCGGTGTGTTTCGCTTGTGGCGCGACGACAGCGCCGCTACAGTCCAAATTGTTTATTTCACTTTAGTAACCTAATCAACACAGATATATCAGCAGTCTCAAATGTTACTTTAAATCTAGTAGATATTAAGAAACAATTAACGTAAAGGAAAAAGGACGTTTTCAGAAAGGTCCCCAACTTGTCGTTCATTTTTAAACTTATAATTTCAGTAATTCATTTATGGGGTGACATATATTTACTCATTTACAACAAAATCCTAGAAATACATAAAATCTGACCAAAGCCAAGTTTAAAATCAATATTAAACAAATATTGTACAAAAAAATATTATTATAATATTATGGGATTTATGGATGATAATAACCTATGTGAATGAGGTGATGACCATCACGCTATTTAATTTATTTTGTGTTGTTGATTGTTGTGTAACTTTAATGAAAAATGTTCTTTAAAAAAAGTCTTGGGGTATTTCTTGCTGGTTCTTCCCAGTAGAGGTACTTTCCGAACCAGTAGTAAATTAAACATAACAGTGATTTTCAATAAGTATTATTTATAATCTACATTGAATAAAAATTTTCCATTCCTACAGTATACTAAGATATTGAAAATTAAAAATACTTACCAGATGAGATAAGATATTCAGCAAGACCTGAGCAAAGGGTCATTAAAAATATAAGAAACACGTTCATGATTTATGATCGTATAAAAAATAAAATACAATTAAAAACTTCCTTATATATGGTATACACTGAGTTAAACGATATAATTTATATTGGTTGACTTTTAACCAACAAATTTAAAACCATGTAATATCACCCGCATATTTTTTGCTACAGTCGTCTATTACTTGTTGAAAACAATACACTGAAACTTTTTATAAATACACAATAAGTACTCGAGTAATCTGCCATCGATCAAGGTATTATTGGTTTATCTTCATGCTAATGTACATAATAGTACGTCATAAGAAGCACGTGAAATACATTCTTATACCTAATGTATGATTAAAGATAAGAAAGAGTAAATTTGCAAAGCATAACGAACATTATTATAATTAGATAATTTAAAATAATTTTAACATGCTCATGAATATACGTGGGCCCATCAGAGTTTGTGAAACTAAAAAAAGTTCTATCGTTTAAATTCTTCATCGATATCTACATAAATTTCACACGTTTCAACCAAATTTCGAAACACTTCCATTCTGCCTCAAACCCCTCTTCTACAACCTGCTCGAACGCTGCTAGCGCATCTCCCGACTATGGTAACGTCACACGGTATCAATTCACGATTGTAAGAATTTTATGAAGGGACCTAAAACCTTTACTAGTGTGCTATTTGGGAAGTTGCTCGTCTTGTATATATTTGGTAGTATATCATACAGCATTAATACTACTTCTATTTCTTAAATGACAAAAGTTAACCTCGTCAAAGCGAAAAACTAGCACTCGAAATCCTTTCTACGCTTTTCAACAGCTTTACTTTGATAGGCATTGGTTCATTTAGCTTCAAAGAGCCGTGGGCTAACACGCCGAGATGAACCTACTTGTAAAATCTTATGGACGCTTCCTGATGTAATCTGTCTAATGTGCTGAGTCTCTTCATACGTAATTCGGTTATTCTCACAGAAATAGTAATAATAAGATATATCACGATTTCTGTGGCTATTCTCATCAATTAAATTTTCCACTACTGTGTGTTTCCTACCGAAGCGGCCGTTAAAGTAAGACCACTTCTTTCGTCATCTCTCAAAGTCAGTCGTCCGTGCTAAAATTTGTTGTGCTAGCTTCACACGGTTGCCTTGTGGAGCCTTTATTCACAAATGCCATTTCTAGTTTATCAAACGAATTGTCCAATTTTAAGAAATATTTGAAATCGTCGCGCGAAAATGTTTCCGACATAGATCCATTTTTAATAAATCACGATCACAGAAGACAAGCTCTCGACGTCGATATCTTTGCTGAAAGGCCTCTAAAATTCAGACCAGGTAGACACCAAAAGATAAATTCTATATCTTCACACTAAAAAAATTAACATCTCTATGAGTAGGTATATATTAAATAGCGTCTCAGCGGGCACCCATATGAAACCTATTTCGTCTGACTTTCAAACCTGTATATCCTGTAACTTAATAGTTTTGTTTATTTTAAGGCAAATTCGAGTAATTTTGGCAGAGAGGTCAAGTGTGAACTCCCATACATTTGAGAGGTTTGCACAGATATTATACGAATTTTCTTTAAAGTAGCATGGGGGACCAAACAAAAAACAAGAAGTAGGAATAAATAAGTAATTTTATTTTCTGAAAGGCAGATTTTTTTACAACTACCTATAACATTACGATTGATGTTTTAATATTTTTACACATAATAATCCTATGTATGTTATGCAGGATATTTTTCACACAACAATAATGTAAGTTAAAAAAATATTGTTGTCGTGTTACATTACAATCACTTGATTAATTTAATTAATACTGCGGGGTCTCAGGGTCGCTTAAGTTACGAGAGCATACCTAGGAACTTTAATTGAAAATGGTTTTACTTACAATCAAGTGGTTCCAACATTTCGAGTTTCCAAGTCTGCAATTTTCGCAATGTTGAACGGTACCGGCACGGCATATTGAACAACAAACGAGGCGTAAAGGACAATTTCCTAAAAAAGTAGCAACAGTGAGAGAGAGAGAGAGACAGAGAGAGAGAGTTAGCACTAAAATTATAAGAAGTCTTAAAGTGACTGGAATAGAGGAAGACTTGCCTGTTAGAGGACCTTTACTTTTTGATGATGCCTGGAGAAGAGTTCATTTTACTGACAAGTTCCGATTTAGTTTTAAGGCCGACGATGGAAGAACCATATTATGGTAACGACTCGGAGAACGATAAGCTCAGTTTAACAAAAGTTCGGCCTCACATGGATATTATTGTCTGTCCATGCCGGGGTACCCTAGTGCCAGCTCCTTCTTTTTGTCCGCATCCAGCGAAGATTTTGTCAACGACAGAGTTCTTTCTGATCGGTTTGGGTCACTTACGTTGCGCTATTACGCTATTTTACATCCCTGTGCATTTTCTGTTATATTTTACGAGAAGAGTAGGTACTCGAGGGAATTGTTGGGATTAATTCCTGCTGCCAAATTCCACTATAGCCCTTCCTGAAAAAATTCGCGATACCATCCATTTCATAAGGATGCTTGACCGTATGTGCGATTTGCCAGCACTTCTCCTCGCACGACTTCTTTGTGGAATCGTCTACCACCGGCGATTTTTTGCACCGATATAACGTTTGCCTTTAAAAGGCTATCATTGCACCTGTAATTGGTGTTGGAATTATTCGTTTGGCACTCCCGTTTGGATCGGCGTTCTGATGGAAAGAACCATTGCTTTCCTAAGAAGATTGGAAGTGATGGCCGTCGGAATCAAACTGAGATATTCCTCCCAGCCTTGATTAAGGCTATGGTTGGATGCATGAGGTCGTAGAGCGCCGGTGTTGTCTTTGCTTTGACTTTGCGAGAGGATAAGAAAGAAGGAAGGGACGGTTTATATGACAATCCGTAACCGGAAAATCTAATGCCAGAGGCGAGCTGATCAGGCTCCTTTCGTATCACCATAATTAAGGTCTTTAGGCGGACACGGGGATTATTCGTCGCCCTATGCGTAAGGCCTATATTCTTCTATGAAGGAACTCTATGCCCACTACCGTCGTCGAGGCTGCAGAAGTTTACGAAAGCGTTCCCGTAGCCCAGGAAAAGTGCTCAGCGATAAACAAAGTGAGGTTTTAGCTGGATTTACTCACTTACAAGAAACTAGCCTAAATATTTATTGTAAATTAGAAATTAAACGAAAATTTTATCGCGTTTAAGTTTCTTTTTACTAAATTATTTAAAACCAAATCTTATTATTTTTCATTCGGCATGACGAATTGCAGCCCTAGTTAGTTTTTCAATTGGCGTCGAACCGTGGAAATACCTATCTCAAAATGTATAATGGCTACGGTGTGTAATGGCTACGGTTTACCATAATCCATGGTAAACCGTAGCCATTACAATAACTTATCTACTGACGCGTTAAAAAACGTAATCACATTCAAAACTGAGCGATAGTAGCCGAATAGTTACGACTTCGAAGACGTCGAAACTTGAATCTCCAATCTCGTCTCGCAGTGCCACGTGTGCTTTATTTGTACACAAAGCTTATGCGCGTTGCGCTTTGAAGTCTTCGATCAATTATATACTAGACTAGCTTCTGCCCGCGACTTCGAACGCGGATCCTGTTGCTTATACCAACGACAACTGGGTCGTCAAAATCGAAGATCTGAAACGTCTGATGTTGAATTCTAAGAGCCCGGGACGGTAAAACAGCGTGATTCGCGAAACGATTCGAGCCGTTATAGATCTTTCATTTTTGTACGTCAACAGGAAATGCCCATCAGACTAAACGACTTTTGCTAAGACGTCATTCCTATATAAGTTATAGTGTCGCTGGGCTTTGGATGGAGTGTAACTCCTTGTGTGTTAGTAAGTTAATATATTGGTAATATTGTTTAGATCACGTTCACATGAGGCAGTACTTATAGAACAAAAATAGTTCAGCGCAAAGCTTCCAGGTAAACTATGTTGAAAGTTGACCCGTCCGGCACGTGAACATAAAGATTTCTAGAACTGCTAACCCGGGAAAGAGCGACGTACAACTGACCATGCGAGAAACAACTGACACCGAGATCTAATCCAGCAACACGAAAAGTCTGCCCTTGAGCATTATTAATTGTCATTGCATAACACACTGATACTGGGAATTGCGTTCTTTTAAATTGGAATGGAAAATTATTTGATATTATGGGAATTCTGGGAATAAAGACGGTTTCTCCTGCACCGCAACCTGTTAAAATTTGAGCCTCGATTATATTTTGTTGCAACTGGGTTACTTTTAGCCGAGTTCCATTGCAAAGTTGTGGTGGTCTTAAATTTCGGAGCAGAATAATCGGAATGCCAACTTTTAAACAAATTTCATGAGGAGGAAGTCCGGGCATATTTAAAGAATTTAAAAATTCTATCGGGTAATTAGTGGCTTCTTGTTCATCGACCATTTTATTTATTGAACTATAAACTTTGCTTTCCCCCTGTATATTCGACAGTATTTTGTTGTTTGTGTAATTGTTACGTCACCGTAAACGACGATATAAGATGTGGTTGACATTGCACTATACAACATAACTCAGGCGTCAGAATAAGTTTTCCTTGGTGTAGTTGTGGATAGGTACCTTCACCAATCTTTAATAATTTATCAGAAAATTGACGATCATCCGGGTTATCTCCAGTTCTCACTCGCATGTTTATAGTCAAATGTACCGATTGTATATCACGCCACAAATAAGAGCTTTTTAGGCAAGCCCTAACCTCATCAGCTCGGGATCCCCGTGGTATTACCGGTAAGGTTTGTCGGAAATCACCACAAAATAAAACCGTGATACCGCCCATTGGTCGATCATTTTGTCTTATATCCCTTAAAGTTCTGTCTACCGCTTCTACTCCTTTTCGGTGGGCCATCGTACATTCATCCCATATGATTAAATTACACTCACGTAATACCTTAGCTTTGTCGCTATTTCTTGAAATACTACAGGTTGGACTTTCCGTGCGATCTAAATCAATTAGTATTTTAAACATAGTGTGAGCAGTATTACCTCCTGGTAGCAATGT